AATTTCAACAAACCTCCAAACCGGATTATTTTGTGCTCACTAGTGACTAGCTTTGAGAGGTTATTCCTGAAGTTCCAATGAGAATTCGTGACCTGTGGGACAAACCGGATGTACATGAAGACAAATAATCATCGATGATATCAAATGATAGTTACAGTATATCGTGAACTGATAAAAGTAAGATATGTGGACCAGTGGATTCTGACCCGGTGACTCAATGGTAACGTGCTGGTTGTGGAATGTTAAGGTATTGGATTCTACCCTTGGTGACTCGGAGTTGTAGGTGAGCACTGCTGAGGATTCCCACACTAGGACGAAACGGCAGTCCAATGCTCCCAGGTTTCCAGTGTTTCTCTAGCTGATGTCAGGTCATAATGAATACCAACCTGAAAACAAGTTCTCATTTGAAATAACAAAGCTCTGATGGAATTTAGAATCGTAGACCCTAGAAGGAGATAGATAAGCTCAGACATTGAGATGTTTACAATCACATAAAGTCATACTACATGATACGACAAAATGACAGTCTTAAATACCAGATAACCAGAGTGGAGGTGGGAGATGGATAACCGAAGCTTTGTTTACTGACTTAAGATCAAACACATTCAACAGGAGTAATGCGACATCTATTCCAAACATATAGAAAATTCAACTACCCATATGACAAATCAAGGAGAAGAAACAGAACTATAAAAACAGGACGTAAAAGATATGAAATAACCCGTAATATAAATGTGAAAAGCAGATTCAATTCGAAATGTGACCCAGGAAATAATACTGCTTCATTATATGAAATATCCAATAAACAAATCAGCATGGAATTATTCACCACAACACTAATGACCAAGTGCTCATTTAGTAATATCTCAAATAACATCTACTAATTTACGAGTTCTTTTTCAGACCGAATTTCTGGGGTGACCTTGAGAAAGGAGTTTGTATTCATCTTGATGACTGGTAGTAGAATCTAGGACGCCCATTTCGTCCCATTTCAGACTTGTCAACTGGAGGTACCTGCACCCCAGTTAGTGATGTTGTTCCAACTGAGATTCGAATACAGCGCCTATCGATTCAAGCACCAAAGTGTAATCTACTAAGTCACTGGGGTACAACAGCCACCATTTGTGTGACGGGCATCAGTTATTGTTTGTTGATACTTGTAACTTCCAGTCGCTATACAAGGGAAGAAGTTGCATTGATTATGATGTTACTCAGTATGTGCATAGATGAGACTGCTACTCCTAGTTAGATCCTTCAGTAGTAATTTTGAACAAGTAATTCAACTGATTTTGGTAGCAGCATTAAGGTCATTTATCATCTTCTTGAAATTCTTTAAGTGTGACATCCTTATGTGTTTATAAACGCGAAATGTACGAATATCTCTGTAGAATAATAATATTTTAAAGTCATTTGTAAGTTACGTTATCTACACTGACATTCCCTATCAGTTAGCAATCGTCATCTTCTGATCGGGACTTCACTATGTCATCTGTCCTAAAAATTCAACCAGTCAAAGCTATAAGTAGTGGTTTATCTGACAGAAAAGTACCAATACATTTTCCCTTATGAGCTGACTTTAACGAAGGTGTTTTCTCTACAAGACCTAAGGGTTCTGGTCCACATCGTTCATGAAGTTGTTGGCAAACATTGCTGAAGAGTCCCCAACTAGTACGAAACAGCTGTCTAGTACCATTTCGTTTTCAAGGATACTCCGATCATATCGATTGATGATTTCGACCATCTGGAAATAAGACATACAACTGAATGAACTAGTTAGCTGGGCCTCATATGTTTAGATAACAAAGCTTGTAAAAACCTCCTCATGACATTATTATAGTGTCTATAATATTCAAACATATTGTGATAATCTAGACCACATAACCACCCCCTATCCCTGTGTTTTGAATAGAAGGTGTACACCTTTGGTGCTTAAATCGCTTAGATCTGAGTATTGAGACGCATAATTATTTAATAATTTAATAATTCCCATTGTAACATTAACAACAAGATATTCAGCGAAGAGACTCTTTTCAACGAATTTATTTTCAAGCTGTACAATCGTATATATATGGTATTTGGAAAAAATTATATCCTGTGAGGGAAAGTAAACACTATATGGTGATGACAATAATAATAGAGCGGATGATGACATAGACATTTATGATTATAATAACAATTGAAGTGCGAATGATAACAAATAGATTATGTAATATATGGAATGGTACATAGAGAGTATATAACTCAGAACGGGGTGAAAAAATTGTTGAAAATGGTAAATCAATTAAGTATTATGTAATGGCATTAGACAAATTGGACAAGATGAAGTCAATGTTTTCTAAAAGGATTAAGACAATTAAGTGAAACAACACCGGAAACTAGTTGAAGTGAAGGCGATTATAATAACAATAATAGTGATAAAGGAAGGATACAAAGGTTAAATTAACAAGGTGGGAGGGGGAGCTAATGGGGTGGGAAAATGTTATGGCCATGATAAAGACAGTGACTGTACATACTTCTTTTGTACACACAGATCAGGTCTTAGTTCATGAATAGCTAAAGCCTCCGCTGTTTTAAGGAGTTGAAAACGAAGAGAACGTGGGAGGTTTGGGCGAATTTGATAAATAATTTCAAAGTCATCGTCTGGATTTGTTGTGTGATGGAAGTCAATCAAATGTTTTGTTTATATTAATTATGTGATTGTTTACTTACTCAACTCTCTACTAACCCATAGAATAATTTTATGTTTATAAGAAAGTTTTGCTTAGCTAATCAATCTTACATAACCCAATTTTATTCAGTAAGTATTCTCACCTGTATTATTGTTATGGTTATCACCTATGTTAGATTGTTTACTTTTACTCGTACAGGTCAACTTTGAAAAACACAACTGATCTATATTTTGAAGGTTTATTCATCAAAGGAGAAGCCTATACACTGATTAAGCACTGAAAATTAGTCAGTAATATATTTACTAGCCTTAGGTGTTTTTCGAGTTGTAGTGATAGGAATTATGGTATGTAATGAAAAATCCAAAAGAGATGACATCAGTGTTCACTATATTTAACAGTGAATGGCTGAATATAGGCAGAATAAGAAAGCTGAACCTGGCTGTACTGCCTAATATGACTGCCTGAATTTCCAACACATCATTAGTTTTTACTAGGTTCCAGATAAACATGAATGATCAATGTTGAACAGCAATAAAATTTAGTTCAGAACTGCCTACCGGCTCATCTAAACTTCCACACAGACGGACGTCTTGATTTAGTAGCGTGCTTTTCACTTACTAGCAGCTTTTTTAAATTATCTCTATGATGCGGGAAATCCACTAACTTTAGGGGGATATTCATCATGAACTGATGTCATTTGGAGAATTAGTGGAAATCAGGGTCATTGGATAGCTGTTTTGTCCTAGTAAATGATTTCTCAGTAACACGCACACATAACCCAACTATGAGGCGAACATAGGACCTTCAAATTTCACGGTGAACGCGTACTTCGAGATGGATATCGTGAAGTTCTAGTGAGAAGCCGTAACCTGTGAGGTCAGCCAGTTGGCAGTGAAGGGAATGGCAGTTGAATGCCCTGGTAGATAGCCGCCCTATATCACGAGTTGACAGAATTAAGAAAACGTGGACTCCTTAACCTTGACCGAGTGGCTGAATGGTTAATGCGTTATCCATGAGACCTGAAGGTCCTGAATTCGATCCCTGATGGGACAAATTCGTGGGTGTGTGCTGGCGAAGAGTCGCACACTAGGGCGAAACAACTGTATAGTGATTCCAGGTTTTCAACAGTTTTCCAGCTGATGTCAGTTCAGGATGAGTGCTACCTTAAAAATAAAATCCCCATTTACCTCAAAACACGAATCCATTTGCGAAGTGACATCTCAACTACTATCACAAGTGGACTTCATGCTATTTTCTTTGAAATAAGCTGAATGACATATAAATGTATGACATATAGTCTACAAAATACAAGAATTACACCGGGGATTATCACAATGGAAAGGTTCTTGAACCACCTAGCAGTTTCTGTTAAAAATCCTTCAGTTAAACAGAACATATCCAAGTAAGCGGTGTTTTGGTTTTAAGAATAGTTTGGTAATGATTTTGTGTTTTTGATAGAATAAGGGTGGACAATCTCAATGACTCATAGAAATAATGAAGAGTTTGTTTGGTTATAATGGTTAGATCCACTAGATACCTTTTGATGTTAGTTTGTACTGTGATCGAGACCCGTTCGGTTCCTTCGTACCCTAACTAGTGATTCATAAACAAGGCAAATTTAACAAGTCAGAACTAAACATGCTTTCATATGGAGGTAAGACTTGTGATCTACTCACTTGTTTGTCATGCAATAGGCCATGGGTTCGAACCGAGCTTTACTTGCCAATATCTTCGCAGTGAAGCAGTATTATTACTATTATTGATCTCCCTCAAATATTGGTGTTTCCAGTTTTCTAGTCCAAGGATCTCTATTGGCTTGCTAAACTGTAGAAATTTCTTTTTAAAACATAGGTCAAGCTAAATAAAAACTGTAACATGCATGAAGTTGTTAATTTTGTGAACGTAAAGTAGCACTAGGAAATGAATTTTCCACTTACTCCTGCATTTCTTTGTTGGTACACACATACACGCGGAGCAGAAAAGTTGAATTAATAACAGTAGATGAATACGTCTGTTCAAAATAAATTCTATGTCTACTTAAGTTGACCCTATGTCACTTTATTTCATTCCAACCGTTGTTAACACAAATAAAGTTTGACAATAGTCATCTCTACCCCCTCCTCCTAGCTAGTCATCCAAACTTATGGTTGATGTAGACCCCTTATTGTAAAAATATGAAAACTAATGAAAAAATTTACTCTTAAAATAGTTTGGCGCTAACCGGTAGTCGTTTGAAATCAGCCAATCAAATTGACCTTGGATTCCCATTGGTCAAATTGACCTAAGAATTTCTTGAATAAAAAAATATTTGCATACATCTGTCGACTACTGCTGGTTGGCACAGAATACGTTACAATTGTGTGAAAAAAAGAGATAAACTTCCGGATTTATACAAATTCAATAAAATGTCCAGATTCAGTATGACATTTGTATTAGCTTATATGTGTCAAATATCAACCAAAAATTTCTTTTTCAATGGCTGAAAACAAAATCCCATTCTCTTAAAGGACTTAATCATATTGAACAGTGGAAAATGTTGAATAATGACTAAACTGTCATATCTTACAGAAAATTTCTCAACCACTCTGTTAATATTACTATCCATATTAGTTTTACTGAATACTTATAGTCATGTACAATGCAGTATAACTACAGCATGGATGGAAGAAAGATTATTCGATCGTGCACGATGCAAAGCAAACTGCTTAAGATTGTTCAATAATCCAACGGAACAAGAAGTATTTCATGTAAGTTTATAGATTAAAGGTGCTTTCTGGCATTTCTTTTAAAGACTTTGAATTGCTTTCTATTTCACGTTGTATTATCCAGCGTAAAGATGCTGATTTAATTTTCAAGTTTGTAGGGATTTATTTATTAACTTCAGATTGGTTATTCATCAATGACTGACATCATTTGGAGAATCATTGGAAACCTAGGAACATTGTATCACTGTTTTTTTCTCAGTGCGCCTATGACCCGCTATGGATCGGACCCAGAAAATTTAGATTCTGAGGCCAGTTCTTTAGCATTGAACCATTAACCCACAGATTTACTCAGTGTAGTCACCAAACATTAATTAGTCGACACAGGTAACTTGCTACTGACTTCAAAACTACAATATTCTATGGTCATTAGTGTACACAGATTAACTGTTGTTCCCCAGATTGACCGAATCGGTGCAAATAGATTCATGTCGTATCCCAACCACACTTGTTTCTTTTTATGTTCTACAAAGTAGGCATTGGATCACAAATATACTCAGTTATTGAGCTATTCTTTCAGAAAGACTTTTAAATTCCTTGTTATGGAATACTGAATCTATTGGAAGGCGGAAAGCTCTGAAGGTTATCCGTTTCTAACGGTTAAATTCGACAGTTTTACATAACTCTATCGGTATGATTAGAATTGGTCACTGTAAAGTAGCTAATTCCAGACTCTTGAGTCCTAACTGCTAACCAAATTGTGTCTATCATTTTATAATGTGTTCACCAAACTAAGGGACTCATAATTGTAGTTCACACCAGGATTTTTGAGATATCACTATGATTTCTGATGCTGTATAAAATTGACAACGAACTGGATGGTATTTTGAAAGAATTTTTACATTTCAAACACTGAAAGTTATTTTGGTCTTCTTTCTCCGACTGTACTTCGGTCTGCATTAGACTTAGGTTCAAGAAAGAATTTTATTTTTAACCATATTTGTATTATACTTTAAGTTCAACAATCTCTGTTACACTACTACTTGGAGAGTTATTGACAGATTCTTTTCAATACAGATCAAAATACATTTTTTTTGTTATCTACAACATCGAAAGACTGTAAACTGTAAGCAAAGATTAAACATTTGAAGTGATTCCTGGGTTAATGAACCCAACTGAAAGCTTTTACACCTGTAGTTAACTTTGGTAGAATCTTCACACTGATCCTTGCATAATTTGAAACAGTCATACTAGTTAGCGAATAATAACTTTATACCAATTTGTTAAAATTAACATCACGAGTACATTTCCACAGAATAAAATTGGTATACTTAAAAGATTCATTGGGATCCAGTTTATGAAACAGTGTACGGATGAGTCCTAACAAGCATGAAATATATATCTAGGGCTTCCTACTGATTACCTCCTTCTACTAATTATGCATTTCATATACTTTCTGAGTAATAACAGTGGCTTTATTAGTTTTAACAACTGGAACAAGAGAAAGGAACATTTTTACTCCTGAGTAAAACTATTTCCTTAAGACAAATTAGAAGTGTACACAATAGTTTTTTTAATAAATTTGTTCAGCGGGTATTCATTTTGGTAATTAGTAGTGAAATACTGGGACTAGCAGTTCTTCCTATCTTGGGATTCGTCAGTGAGATGTAATTGCACCCCCAGAGAGCGATGCCGTTCCCACTATGTGTCGTTTTTATTCAACTATCCATCCCTTTTTACAGACAGTATTAACTACCTGATATTGTCTAATTTCGATTTTTTCTTCTTCTCAATTTTAACTGATAAAAACAACCTTGAATGGCTTAATTCGTTTAAAGATTGAATTTTTATCAAAAATTTCTGTCAATTGTGAAGCCAAATTAATGGGCACTTTTAAATCTTTTATTGAACACCTTAACAGACTTCAGGTTTTCATAAAAGATTATTATAAAGTTAAATTCAAACCAAGCTGCTGGTTCCGAACTCAATCACTCATCAAGTCGATTGCGAAGCTAAACTATTGAAAATGCTTTTAACTGATCAAATTATCACAGATAGCATAATTTATTCAAAAGACTGAGGTCCTATATCTGCTGGAGAAGTGGATCAGTGCACTAGATTGTAAGCTTGACTATCTCGAAAAGGTGTTGTCTGACAGAACTTTATTGATTAAAAGTGGAGTGGAAATTTGGGCTGCGACAGGGTTCGAACCACTGACCTACTTCTAGATTAACCTAAATTTATGTGATCTAGTTTTGATCCGAATTGATGGGCCACAACTGCTGTGTGGTCTCTTGAGCCGGTGTTTCTATATATTGCCGGTATTTCTCAAATTTGATATTACTGTTGGTCACGCGTTCCCTTTCAGCCTTAGCGGGAGCAACATCACTTCACTGGTAGGCAGGTACAATCATCTGACGAGGCCTAAATAGGAGGAAAAGCGCATCTTCGATCCCAATGCTATCGACTATCCATCAGTAGTAGTGATCTAGTGTTAGCTAACAACAGCATTAATTCCATTCATTATAAGCTAGTTTTCAGGAAAATAATCGAAATTAGGAACAGTTTTATCAGCAACTTACATCGTTTATTAATGCTGGATGGTGACTAGCAATGGAATCCAGGATGCACGTTTCGTCCACCTTTGGACTAGTCAGCTAGATATACCTGTCTCCCAGTGAGCGTTGTTATTCCCACTAGGACTCGAACCGGGGACCGACCACTTCAGACACCAGAGTGTTATCCGCTAGACCACAAAGTTACGAGGCATCTGCGCACGAGCGCATATGCTAATGGAGATGGACCAATTCGGTCCACTCAATATGATAGGATAATACAAGCAACAACGTCATTACCTTCAGAGTTATTGTTGTTGTCACTACTAACATATTGGTGTAGAACTTATTGAAGCATAAATAAATAATTCAAATACAGTTCAAGTGTTTCATAAACATTATTTCTAATGATATCGAGTTTTGAATAGCCCTCGAAATCAATGTCAAGCAAGCTAATTTCTCATGTTCATTGACCTTTGAAGTTTTATTACCTTTAACAGATATTACTGTCGATGGTTGACTTCAATTTTTCTTTGTATGTCTTCGTTATATCATGCTTCATTAATCTACATGAGTATGAGGTGAGCTTGGATGAAAATATGACCTAATGTAATAGACTTTATAAATCGACTCTAGTCATGTGTGATTTTGTAACTATTCACGTATCTGTCTACCGTAGATAAAAATATAAAAAAAGGAATGACTGTTTGATTGTGGAGTTTTTGCTGGCTGACTGAAGCAACTGTGTCTTTCATTTGGTAGCTTACAAGTTTAAAACTGACCTCACCATCTAAAGACAGTCGAAGTGCACTCAACAATTCTATGCACGCTCGTGGTGTACGCCACACCCATTGTGTAAAGACTAGTAATGTTACTTAGTAGCCCGAATCTCGGTAGCTGTAGCAGAATAAGGACCTCTGGTCGACTGGCTGTAAGTCAACTTTTTAAAGTAATCAGCCACAACACCAGTCACCTTCTAGGGTCTTAAGTAGTCGAAAATTCTGATCAAAAAAATCACAACAGATGTGATGCATCGCCCATTTTGGTGGTTATTGAGTAGTATTTAATTTTGATCATTATGTTAGACTAAAATACGTTTGGTATGGCTAAATACTAAAATGACTAGGAAGGCTAACAACTAGGGTGTGGGAAGTTATAAAACAGACCTTAATGATAACATTCCCCCATTTCATTGAGTGCAACAGTATTATTGCGAAAATCCGTCACTGTTCGAAGAATATTTAGAATATGCTAGATAGGAACTCCATATAAGCTTTTTCAACAAATGCAAGCAATAACATATACGCATCACACAAAGAAGTGGCTATCTTGACTCAGTAGCCTAATGGATAACGCTTTCTCACTTGAAGCAATCAGTTCCAAGTTCATATTTAGATGGGAACAATATGGTTTACTGGGAGGCCGGTACTTCCAGCTGACAAATCCTAAATAGGATAGAACTTGCGTCCTGGATTTCACTGCTAGGCACCATCCACAATTAATATAAAATATGCATTGGTCTATAAAACACTGGAGAGGTATATGTTTACAGTGATGGTATTGGTGAAAGAGTTTTATTATTGCAATAGTAAATGACAAGCATAGCTTCCGAGATGAGTCAGTTTCGTGAAAAACCCTGTCTGAATATACTTATCTTCTTGCTTCTAGAATATTATTATGCAGTGATAAAAAAAGCGCTTAAAACTTCAGTAGTAAAGAAGTCTAAAATTACAAATTATTTTAACCATCGTCATAATGGTTACTTAGTGGATTACCAATATTTAATATAAATGACATTGTCAAACACAAGTGTAACTAACAGCGTGTTTGAACGTGGTTGAATTCCGACAAAAACTATTTACAGGAAAACTGTAGAACATGGAGAGTGGCAAAAAAATGGCTTCTACCCATGAAAGAACTGTACACAACGGAAACTTAACAGAGACCTATGTTATATGATATGAGTGAAGGTAGCCACAGTTGTTACTGTGAGGGTAACGCTTAGTAAGTAAGTAAGTAAGTCATCTTTAAGGGAATACTATGAATTAAACCAAAGCTATAGTGTATTTAATTGTGTTTTAACTAACTGTCCAGTTCAAAAGTAGCGTATGAAACAATAGCATACAGGTGTGAATTTGAATGGTGATATATTGACAGAGCTAATGTATCTCTATTTCTGAGAAGTCCATATATGTGTTAGGCAATGAATTGTGTTTCGTATAAAGCTGAAACCCCCGAGCCTAGTCACTGGCCAGGAATCCACGTTAAATTTTTTATCTTGATTGATGCATGCACACGTGTGGTTCAAGTAAGAATAAAAGCTGGAATTCTGAGAGGATTCAGCGTGATATGATTGGTAAATTATACCAATACTGTCATCATTTAAAGAATACTGCCTAGCTGTATGATATATTAAACAAGTAAACTAATATGCAACTATGCTTCCCCTACCGCTCTAATTATGCTGTTACATAAGTGATGCTACCAGTA